CATATTCTGTTACACCAAATACACAAAATAATCATCTTTAAAAAAAGCATCATATGACCCCTTTAACACAGTTTGAGCTCAAATTGTCAAGATATCTGACATAGTCCTTCATCAAATAATGACTATTTTAACTGTTAATAAACATGGAACAAAACTTGCCTTTGCTTTGTCTTTTGTTAACCTGGGCCAGGATTTCCCTGACTCTGCTTTCCGTAAAAAGCACAAGATCGACCGGTCTGTACGCCTGTGTTTGGACCCCTGAGAATAGGAAGTAAAACATAACTCAAAATGTGCTCATCCTGAAATGTGCGTCCCACTGAGGGGTCATTTGAAACGGGATATCTCAACTGCGTGCTAAACTCACATCTTGATCGATGGACTCAAAAAGGTCAATTTCATTTGAGTACTTCATGTTATCCATCCCACTGAGACAGCTGAAAGAGCAGAAGACAGCATTAGCCGAGCCACGAAACATTCAAACTACAGCCTACAATCTAAAGCAATGACAATAAGACGATTTTGTGCTTTCACATTGATGAATGAAGCTACAGCAACATACCTGAAACCAAATTTGGACTTTTCAAAATTTACGTTCACATCCTTGCTGTCCTCCACCAAAAACTCAATGAAGACAAAGTCTCGTCTGTCGTACCACTTAGCAGCTGCTGGATGCCTGTTAGGGGAAATTTGTATTTAGATTAAAGCTAGACCAGACAGGATAATTTACGGAGGACTATTTTATACGTGGATTTAATCATTTTAAATAATGGATAGAATATGTTAGCCAGGTTGATCGATCAGCTGACGTTCGATAATTTCAGGTCATAAAATATATCTCGTCCACCAGACAAAAATCCTTTTCACCATTTATTGGTAAAGACACGGTTTTCATTTATTGAAGTAAATATTGTGCAAAATTAAGTTGCAATTTTAAGCATCTAAAAATTCAGCGTTGATCACAGAAATAAATTGCATTTTAAAATATATTCAAATAGAAAGCAGTTATTTAACATTGTGATAATATTTCACAATATTACCGTTTTTGTCTGTCAAATAAACGTATCCTTGGTGAGCACAAAAGACTCCTTTCAAAACTTACCGACTCCCAAATTGTATATACTATAGATTGATATTTTTGTATATTTCTTTATTAAGTTATCAGAAACCTATGTGGTAGATATTTCACCTTGCTGTATTGCAAAATAAATTTTTTTTTACATCTAATAAATGTCTTCGAAACGGCTTTTGGTGAGCTTAAGAGACTTCTTTAAAAATCGTTACGCAATATAAATATTTTAATTAAGAGCCGACCACTATTAGGTAATATTAGGTGTCAAAACAGGTTCCCCACAAATACCAATAGCAGGCGAGGCTAACAATACTCAATCCTCTCAACAAATGAGTCTGTAAAGAGCAGGTGGCATGAACATCTCTGACACACCACTTCAACTACTACCTCCTTTCCTCAAATTCCCCACCATGCAGCCTCATGGCTGAACTCTATCAAACACTTGAGGAATTTTAATGA